ACAGGTAAAATGTTTCAAAAGTAGATTTGTTTAAGACTACCTACATGTACAAATTACCTCAACTAACCTGTACCCCTGCACATTGACTAGGTACCGGTACCCCCTGTATATAGCCTCATTATTGTTATTTTATTGTGTTACTTTTATATATTTGGTCTTTTTTTTTACTTTGACTTGTTTAGTAAATATTTTTTTTACTCTGTTTTATTTAAACTGCATTGTTGGTTAAGGGCTTGTAAGTAAGTATTTCACGGTAAGGTCTACACCTATTGTATTCGGCACATGTGACAAATAACATTTTATTTGATATAATATTCATGACTTACAAACAGAGAGAGAAATATTATATCCATGACATGCAAACAGAGAGATAAAGTCCCCTGTAGCTCAGTTAGTAGAGCATGGTGCTTGCAATGCCAGGGTTGTGGGTTCGTTTCCCACAGGGGGCCAGTATGAAAATGTATGCACTCACTAACTGTAAGTTGCTCTGGATAAGAGTGTCTGCTAAATGACTAAAATGTAGTAGAACCCCCTCACCAACAATGGATAATACTTTCAGAGGTTAATTTGCTCTGTTAAAACTACTCTTTGGAATGACTTCGATAGCAGCAGTGAATTGATTTAGTTTTTAAGTGGAGATCACTCAACAATCTTTCTCACGATAGCACATTGGTAATAGTCAGTGACACATAGCTAAGCAGGGCTTGGTTAAAACACTGGATGGGAGACCAAGGGGTAGCTGTAGATAGGTTAATTCTCCAGTAGGAGGTGCGGCCCTGCCTATAGTTTTTTTTCTTCTGATAATGGATATAACGTTGAAGATCTGCCGTTGTTTTAAAGGTACAAATTCAACATATTTTATACAAGGTTTGTCTATGTTGAAATTTGGTTACCATGATGAGATAATACTGTGGTTGAAATTTCACCCTTAAAACAACAGTTTACGGTGATAACTTTTTCAAATCCCATGTATTTTCCACGTAGATTCCATTTTACAATATGTTGACAAATTACACTGAAACAACTTTGATTCAACTCGTTTGTGCCCAGTGGGTAGTTGGCCAAAGCAGACAGACAGGATAATCAACATCATACAGATGTAGGTTATTAATTTGATCACTCTTTTGTTGCTGAGAATTTTACTGCTTTGCAGGAAATGCAAACTTGTAGTGTATTTGAGTTTTAAAAAGGCTTCTAAAATTTGTAATTTCCACTTTGAAATTTTTGACTTAATTTGCCCTAACAAAAAATCTATCAACCCCTACAAAAATTTCCATTAATTATAATCCACATAACAATTCACATTTCCTGTTGCTGCAGGATTATTTTCGTGCTGTAGCAAACTGGCTCAAATTAAGATCCTACATCTGTATGTAGCCTTTACACCAGGGCTTGAAATACAGTGGTAAGATTCAGTTCTAGATTAAGATTATTAATGTGAGATAATGATGACTTTGGGGCATTTGCATCTGTATTGCATAGTTTTGCCTGCCAGGCCTAGGATACAGTGCCTTCAGAAATTATTCATACCCCTTGACTTATTCTACATTTTGTTGTGTTACAGCCTGAATTTAAAATAAATGCTCAACCATCTACACACAATACCCCATAATGACAAAGTGAAAACATGTTCTTAGAAATGTTAGCAAATTTATTGAAAATTGAATACAGAAATATTGAATTTACATAAATATTCACACCCCTGAGTCAATGCAAGTTAGAATTACCTTTCGCATCGATTACTGCTGTGAGTCTTTCTGGGTAAGTCTCTAAGAGCTTTGCACACCTGGATAGTACAATATTTGTCAATTATTATTTTCAAAATTCTTCAAGCTCTGTCAAATTGGTTGTTGATAATTGCTAGACAACCATTTTCAAGTCTTGCCATAGATTTTCAAACAGATTTAGGTCAAAACTGTAACTCAGTCACTCAGGAACATTCACTGTCTTCTTGGTAAGCAACTCTAGTGTAGATTTGGCCTTGTGTTTTAGGTTATTGTCCTGCTGAAATGTGAAAAAATCTCAGACTGAACCAGGTTTTCCTCTTGGATTTTGCCTGTGCTTAGCTCCATTCCATTTATTTTTTTTACCCTGAACCCCCCGAGTCCTTAACAATTACAAGCATACCCATAACATGATGCAGCCACCAGTATGCTTGAAAATATGGAGAGTGGTACTCAGTAATGTGTTGTATTGGATTTGCCCCAAACATAACACTTTGTATTCAGGACAAAAAGTGAATTGCTTTGCCAAATGTTTTGCTGTATTACTTTAGTGCCTTGTTGCAAATCGGATGCATGTTTTGGAATATTTTTATTCTGTACAGGCTTCCTTCTTTTCCCTCTGTCAATTAGAATAGTATTGTGGAGTAACTACAATTGTGTTGATCCATCCTCCATTTTCTCCTATCACAGCCATTAAACTCTGTAACTGTTTTAAAGTCACCATTGGTCTCTTGGTGAAATCCCTGAGCGGTTTCTTTCCTCTCCGTCAACTGAGTTAGGAAGGACGCCTGTATCTTTGTAGTGACTGGGTGTATTGATACACCACCCAAATAAACCAATAAGAAAGAGAGTTCCAAACCTCTCTGCCAATAACAGCTAGTTTCCCCTCCCAGACAGTCATTTTTACATTTTAGTCATTAAGCAGACACTCTGATCCAGAGCGACTTACAGGAGCAATTAGGGTTAAGTGCCTTGCTCAAGGGCACCTTGTCACCTCTGGAATTCAAACCAGGGACCTTGCGGATACTGGCCCAACACTCTAACCGCTAGGCTACCTGCCACCCTTAGTTCTGGAAAAAAAATTACTTGAGAAATTGCTCTTTGCTAAGAAGCTATTTTTGTTTCTTTTTGACCATTTTAATTTAAAACAATCACAGCAAGTTACTTAAGTTTTACCCAGAATGCTGTATTAAACCTTTAACAGTATTTAACTTTTCATGAAACCTCATTTTGAGCAGTTAATAACCTAACCACAGATCAAGCAACATTTATCTAATCATTTTATGAAATTTTTTTGTCACAAGCTTCGTAAACAATAGGTGTAGACTAACAGTGAAAAATAATAGAAAAATAATAACAGAGGGAATAAATACACAATGAGTAATGATTACTTGTACCAGTACCGAGTCGATGTGCAGGGGTACGAGGTAATTGAGGTAGATAACAGTGGAGGCTCCTCAGAGGAGGAAGGGGAGGACCATCCTCCTCAGTGAATTTCACAACAATTTAAATGGGGTACATTGACTTCAATACAAAACCTAGGAGGCTCATGGTTCTCACCCTCTTCCATAGACTTACACAGTAATTATGACAACTTCCAGAGGACGTCCTCCAGCCTATCGGAGCTCTTGCAGCATGAACTGACATGTTGTCCACCCAATCAAAGGATCAGACAATTAATCTAGTACTGAAAGCATAAGCTAAAGCTAGCTAGCACTGCAGTGTATAAAATATGGTGAGTAGTTGACTCAAAGCGAGAGAAAGACAATAGTTGAACAGTTTTGAACAAATTAATTTCTTCCAAAATGAAGGGGGAAGCTAGAGAGAAATAGAGAGAGAGAGATTTCATAATTTTTTTTCACTTACTTAGCTAGGAAATGCAGCTAGCTAGATTAGCCTACTGAAACACCCTGCTCAAACAGAGGGATGCTATGTTAGCTGGCTGGCTATGACCTTCCAACACAACACTGGAACTCTTCCAAGTCAAGGTAATCTTTTGGTATTACTAATTTTTTGCCACCGGGGCCCGCCGGCGTAACTGTTTGCTGACCGTACACGAACGTTACTGCATGATTGTTGCGGGTTTACTAATGCGTTAGTTCTATTAGCTGTGCTGACTATGATGTTACTTTAGCTAATATGGTGACAACGATGTAGGGCAACTGTGTGCAGCGGTTTCGCTTGGAAAGGTTTTTTCACCTGGTCACATACAGCTGATGTGTTGTGCATTGAAGTCCACAAGCGAAGGGAAGAGGTGAGAGGAGGACAGCGCATAGATGCGAGAAGGAATACAACATAGCTGCTATGAAAGTGAACTGTGTTTATGTGTTCAGGGGTGTATTCATTCCGCCGATTCTGTTGAAAACCGTTTCTTAAATGGAAGCAAACGGAACAAAACGGGGATAAACATACCTGAATTTGTCCAATAGAAACTCTTGTTTGCAACTGTTGGATTAATGATTACACCCTATATCATCTAGATGCAGGCAAGAGTGTGCAAGGCGGTATTGAATGGCACTGTCTGTCACCTCAAATTTGTCTCTCGACCTGTGTGTGCCTACGTTGTAAACTTTAATTCATAGGCTATGGTTGTAGCAACCTCATGATGGGTATAGGGAAAATTCGAGTATCATGTAATAGCCTAAACCTATTGGTGTTACATTGAACTGGGTGAATGGAATATGAATGAGAGTAATCCAATATGCTGTAATAGAAATAAGGCTATGCTCATGAAAATTGAACGGCACTGACAGCCACTGGTAGATACATACATATAGGTAGGGCTAAAGTGACTTGGCAACAGGATAGATAATAAGCAGTAGCAGCAGTGTATGTGATGAGTCAAAAGTGTTAGTGCAAAAAGGGACTAAACGTTATGGATTTAACATTCAAATCCTGTTGCTGCAGGATTATTTTGCTGTGACAATACAGGTCAAATTAATATCCTACATCTGTACATTCCTACAGGGCTATTTGACTGTGTGTGGTGTGGAAAACGGTTGTGAAAAATACTGTTATTTTGTACTTTGGGATTATCCCAGCAAAAGGAATGTGACACTTTTTAAAGATTTCACAAGTTCAATGGGTACAATCCTGTTCATGAGGAAATTATTAATTTGCATCACGCTCAAATACACTTTGTTTCGGTGTGCTTTTGATTAAAGCCATGTGCCGGGTGGCGGGTATCACTCCAAAGACTCATTCAGTTATTTGTTTCCCCTTTATATCCTTTGTTCTTTTCATTTATTATTGTCCTCTTTCTGTCCTTTTCCAGACAAGATCTGTGACCAGATCAGTGATGCTGTCCTGGATGCTCACCTGAAACAGGACCCAGATGCCAAGGTTGCCTGTGGTGAGTTAGAGGGGGACACATTTAAGTGAAACACACAGAACAAGAAAACAAAGCCAAATGTCCCAAAAGCATTTAAATATTTTATTCCTACTGTTCTGTCTAAAGCTAGCACTTCTTTCTACTTTGTTTGAACTCAAACCCTTTGATTTTATCTTACGTAATCTTCTTAATTTCCAAGAAATAACTCAAGAAAATAAGCTTGTTAGAACAGTTGGGACACAACACATAAGAAACCCACTGACCCCAAATTGGGATATTGACCTAATGACACAAGTGTACATTCTACACTTATCTATGTCCACTATGAACTCAAAACTATTTGTTGTTGTTGTTGTTTTTTATCCCAAGATAGAGGTCTAAAAGTTCAAAATACCTTACTAATCAATTACGCAACACCTGAGACATACTTACATAGAATGTCACTGATCTAAAGATAAAAGTGTCATAGGTTGTTTTTACACAGATATAAAGTGTTAACGGTTGTCTTCCCTCTGTGTAGAGACGGTGTGTAAGACTGGCATGGTGCTGCTGTGTGGAGAGATCACATCCCGGGCCAACGTAGACTACCAGAAGGTTGTCAGAGACGCTATCAAACACATCGGCTACGACAACTCAGACAAAGGTGAGAAACAGGCTTATGTTGTACTCAAACCAATATGTTTCCTATTGAAACAGATGTTTTTATATATACTGAACAAAAGTATAAACGCAACATGTAAAGTGTTGGTCCCATGTATCATGAGCTGAAATAAAAGATCCCCGAAATGTTCCATACGCACAAAAAGCTTATTTCTCTCAAATGTTGTACACAAATTTCTTTACATCCCTGTTAGTGAGCATTTCTTCTTTGCCAAGATAATCCATCCACCTGAAAGGTGTGGCATATTAAGAAGCTGATTAAATAGCATGATCATTACACAGGTGCACATTACAAAACTGCACCTAAAATGTGCAGTTTTGTCACACAACACAATCCCACAGATGTCTCAAGTTTTGAGGGAGCGTGCAATTGGCATGCCGACTACAGGAATGTTCATCAGAGCTGTTGCCAGAGAATTGACTGTTAATTTCTCTACCATAAGCCGCCTCCAACGTTGTTTTAGACAATTTGGCAGTACGTCCAACCGGCCTCACAACCACAGATCACGTGTAACCACGCCAGCCCAGCACCTCCACATCCAGCTTCTTCACCTGCAGGATCATCTGAGACCAGCCACCCGAACAGCTGAGGAAACTATGGGTTTGCATGATCTAAGAATTTCTGCACAAACTGTCAGAAACCGTCTCAGGGAAGCTCATATGCGTTTTCGTCGTCCTCACCAGGTTCTTGACCTGACTGCAGTTCGGCGTCGTAACCGACTTCAGTGGGCAAATGCTCATCTTCGGTGACCACTGGCACGCTGGAGAAATGTGCTCTTCACGGAAAATCCCAGTTTCAACTGTACCGGGCAGATGGCAAACGGTGTGGATGGCGTCGTGTGGCGAGCGGTTTGCTGATGTCAACGTTGTGAACAGAGTGCCCCATGGTGGCGGTGGGGTTATGGTATGGGCAGGCATAAGCTATGGACAAAGAACACAATTGCATTTTATCAATGGCAATTTGAATGCACAGACATACCGTGACAAAATCCTGAGGCCCATTGTCATGCCATTCATCCGCCGCCATCACCTCATGTTTCAGCATGACAATGCACTGCCTTATGTCGTAAGGATCTGTACACAATTCCTGGAAGCTGAAAATGTCCCAGTTCTTCCATGGCCTGCATACTCACCAGACATGTCACCCATTGAGCATGTTTGGGATGCTCTGGATCAACGTGTATGACAGCGTGTTCCAGTTCCCGCCAATATCCAGCAACTTCGCACAGCCATTGAAGAGGAGTGGGACAACATTCCACACGCCACAATCAACAGCCTGATCAACTCTATGCAAAGGAGATGTCGCACTGCATGAGGAAAATGGTGGTCACACCAGATACTGACTGATTTTCTGATCCACACCCCTGTCTTTTTTTTAAGGTATCTGTGACTAATAGATGCATATCTGTATTCCCAGTCATGTGAAATCCATAGATTAGGGCCTAATGAATTCATTTCAATTGACTGATTTCCATATATGATCTGTAACTCAAAGTAAAATCTTTGAAATTGTTGCATGTTGCATTTATATTTTTGTTCAGTGTACATACTATAATGTAGATTGCATAATGTCATGACACTCTGTCTCTCTCTTCCTCCATCTTTCTCTTCCTCTCTCTCCCCCTATCTCTCTCTTTATGTCTCTACCTTTCTCCCTCCTCTCTCTCTCCCCAGGTTTTGACTATAAAACGTGCAATGTGTTGGTGGCTCTGGAGCAGCAGAGTCCAGACATCGCTCAGGGTGTCCACATCGACAGGAAAGAGGAGGATATGGGAGCTGGAGACCAGGGTCTGATGTTTGGCTACGCTACAGATGAGACAGAGGAGTGCATGCCTCTCACCATCGTCCTGGCTCACAAACTCAATTCCAAGATGGCCGAACTCAGACGCAACGGAACCATCCCCTGGCTCCGCCCCGACTCAAAAACACAGGTGAGACTGAGAGAATTACCAATTAACTCTCTCTCTCTCCCTCTTTCTCTATCTGAGGGGGATATGTGAGGAGAGAGGTTGTGGGTTGCATATAGAGAGAAAGAGAAAGGGAGAGACAGTAAGGGAGAGAGAGAGAGAGAGAGAGAGAGAGAGAGAGAGAGAGAGAGAGAGAGAGAGAGAGAGAGAGAGAGAGAGAGAGAGAGAGAGAAAGAGAGAGAGAGAGAGAGAGAGAGAGAGAGAGAGAGAGAGACATGTGGTCCCCAACACACAGATGCACCTGCATCTGAACCCATGACTCCCCACTGAGAGGTTGCCACTAGGAAGGTGTTACCATGAGACCATGTGACTAGTCTGTTTTTACCCCTGAGTGGGAATGAGTTGACCCCTAACCCTGACCCCATGTAGTAACACGTCTGGAGCAAAGGAGATCGGCTGTGGTCTCGTCAATCACAGCAAACGGTCTGGTTCCATTACAACCTCTAAACCCTTCTCTTAGCTCCTACCTATTTTCTTAGCATCTACTCCCTTCAATGTTCACAGATCTGAAAGGATTGGAGAGGTGTCAGTAATGTGGTGGAAGCTCCACTGAGGTTGCCCAAAACTACACGTCTAGGGTCCAAGTTGGGAGAAGGGGCAAGGAGCTGAAATGGAACAGACCAAAATCCAATGGATTCCTTCCTCGGGCAGCTGTAACCTTATGGGCAATTCTCAAGTTCCTGAGTTCTTATGAGTGGGGAGTGAAGAGGGAAGGGTCTCCAGTTTTAGGGGTATTTTTGAAGGGGGCTGGAAAAGGAATGGCCCAAAATAGGATCTTGTGAGAGGTGAATTCCAGCAGCTGTAAATTTGCCTTTCTGAGTTGATTCCAGACTGGTGAACTCCAATTGATTCATTGATTGGTTGATGCAGCCAGAACATTATATAAAAGCCATCCACATGTCTTAAGTGAAGTGAAGTTTACCAAGGCCCTCGAAATCTGATAACATTGACAGGCACGTGTCTTGGCTTCAGGACTGAACATAATAAAGACAAACACGTAGCAGAACATGTGATGATATCAATTAACAGTAATTTTGATCCGAATGTGCAAATTGTCCATGTTATTGGACCATAAACAGATATGGCTCATTAACCTATACGGTCCAAATAATGATGATCCATGCTTCTTTGAAAATATATATAATAATTGATCAACCCTACAAGCAATACAAGACTAAATTATTATGGTGGGAGATTATAATACGGTTTTAAATACCTCTATGGACCATAAGGAAATCACACCACAAACCTTCACCCTCATGCACTTAAGGAAATCACGAATGTCATGGATATATTGGAACTTGTGGATATATAGAGGCTTAAATATCCTGACCTATTGAGATATACTGTGGCTTGCGAAAGTATTCACCCCCCTTGGCATTTTTCCTATTTTGTTGCCTTACAACCTGGAATTACAATGGATTTTTTGGGGATTTGTATCATTTGATTTACACAACATGCCTACCACTTTGAAGATACAAAATATTTTTTCCTGTGAAACAAATAAGAAATAAGACATAAAAACAGAAAACTTGAGCGTGCATAACTATTCACCCCCCCAAAGTCAATACTTTGTAGAGCCACCTTTTGCAGCAATTACACCTGCAAGTCTCTTGGGGTATGTCTCTATAAGCTTGGCACATCTAGCCACTGGGATTTTTGCCCATTCTTCAAGGCAAAACTGCTCCAGCTCCTTCAAGTTGGATGGGTTCCGTTGATGTACAGCAATCTTTAAGTCATACCACAGATTCTCAATTGGATTGAGGTCTGGGCTTTGACTAGGCCATTCCAAGACATTTAAATGTTTCCCCTTAAACCACTCAAGTGTTGCTTTAGCAGTATGCTTAGGGTCATTGTCCTGCTGGAAGGTGAACCTCCGTCCCAGTCTCAAATATCTGGAAGACTGAAACAGGTTTCCCTCAAGAATTTCCCTGTATTTAGCGCCATCCATCATTCCTTCAATTCTGACCAGTTTCCCAGTCCCTGCCGATGAAAAACATCCCCACAGCATGATGCTGCCACCACCATGCTTCACTGTGGGGATGGTGTTCTCGGGGTGATGAGAGGTGTTGGGTTTGCGCCAGACATAGCGTTTTCCTTGATGGCAAAAAGCTCAATTTTAGTCTCATCTGAACAGAGTACCTTCTTCCATATGATTGGGGAGTCTCCCACATGGCTTTTGGCGAACACCAAACATGTTTGCTTATTTTTTTCTTTAAGCAATGGCTTTTTTCTGGCCACTCTTCCGTAAAGCCCAGCTCTGTGGAGTGTATGGCTTAAAGTGGTCCTATGGACAGATACTCCAATCTCCGCTGTGGAGCTTTGCAGCTCCTTCAGGGTTATCTTTGGTGTCTTTGTTGCCTCTCTGATTAATGTCCTCCTTGCCTGGTCCGTGAGTTTTGGTGGGTGGCCCTCTCTTGGCAGGTTTGTTGTGGTGCCATATAATTTTTTTATAACCCAACCCTGATCGGTACTTCTCCACAACTTTGTCGCTTACCTGTTTGGAGTGCTCCTTGGTCTTCATGGTGCCACTTGCTTGGTGGTGCCCCTTGCTTATTGGTGTTGCAGACTCAGGGGCCTTTCAGAACAGGTGTGTATATATACTGAGATCATGTGACAGATCATGTGACACTTAGATTGTACACAGGTGGACATTGTTTAACTAATTATGTGACTTCTGAAGGTAATTGGTTGCACCAGATCTTATTTAGGGTATTCATAGCAAAGGGGGTGAATACATATGCACGCACCACTTTTACGTTATTTATTTTTTTGAATCTTTTGAAACAAGTTATTTTTTTCATTTCACTTCACCAATTTGGACTATTTTGTGTATGTCAATTACATGAAATCCAAATAAAAATAAATTTAAATTACAGGTTGTAATGCAACAAAATAGGAAAAATGCCAAGGGGAGTGAATACTTTTGCAAGGAACTGTACATGGCGGAGGCTCAATCAAGCTAGTCGTCTTGACTACTTTCTTATGTCATTCTCTCTGGCACCAAAAGTTTAA